ACCAGTGGCATTTTTTAAAAAAGGGTGAGGTTTAACATATGAAACTTAGAAATATCAAAAAATTTGAATTTAAATAAGTTTAAGCTACCAGGGAACTGCCTTGAAAATTGCCGAAAAGTGTGAATTTTGATATTTTTATACTTTCAGGGTCATTTTCAATATTTTAGACTTATATCTGTTTTACAACAACCTTATCTTAAGAAATTAGGAATAAGGAAAGGAAGATAAGAAAGCAGGATAAGTAAAATTCATTTAATAGTTATACTGTTTCAGAAATTTTTATGAATACTTAAAAATTATTATTTTTTTAAAGTTTTGTGGCGTTAATTTACATCTCTTCCCCCTATTTTTATTTTTGATTATGATAGAAAATTTTATGCTGATTAAGAATCGTATAAAAACATAGCTCTGAAAATTGAAGCAAAGTACTCTAATTTGATGTTGAAGTTTAAAAATTACACTAAAAACGCTATTATTCACCATTATTTTTGTACTCTGTTATGATTAAAATTCATTCAAAAGTAAACTTTGAAAATAACATAAACAACCTGGTTTTTATTGTCAACAAAAAACGAAACTGTTTTTTAGTAGCGACTGATTTAGAGATAGGCAAGGGCTTCAAGGAAGAATAATGGTATAAATTGATACCTGCCCCAACCCTGACCCTTCGATGTGTTATCAACTCTCTTGCGAGTTATAAAAAAGCGTTTAGTTGCATTTAAAAAAGATAGCGAATATTAGCGTTTTTTGTGTAACATTTTAAACTTCAAGATCTAATTAGAGTACTTTGCTTGAGTTTTCAGAGCTATGTTTTTATACGATTCTTAATCAGCATAAAGTTCTCATAATCAAAAATAAAAATAGGGGGTAGAGATGTAGTTTTGTATGTAATTTAAGTTATACATTTTAATTGATGGTTCTAAATGGCTACACAGAAAACATCATTCTAAAGTTTTTTGTTTTAATATTTGTTATGCAAGTTATACATATATATATATATATATATATATATAATTTTCAAAATTACTAGATACAATGTATAATTAAATTTAAAATGGCTGCTGGAACAAGATGGAAAAATGATTTTTGTCTACGCCAATATTTGGGATCTGGAAAAGAGTTGCCAACAGCTGAACTGCCAACACTGAGAGATGTCCTAAGATATGGTATTTTTTTAAGAAAAACAAGCAAACTAAACAGAAGAAACTATAGTAATTCTGATTTGATCCAGGATATTTATAAAAAACTTTCAGAAAAATGGCAAATGGCCAGTGTTTTATTTGTGCCTCCCGTAATTAGTTTAAAACATAATTTGGTAACTGGTTGGGATGGAGGAGTAATGCACTTTATGGAGCTAAAATTAGGGCGAAAGTTAAATTGGATTGTCTGCGCTCTACATACCAATAAATTACCACTCAAACGTTTAATTAAATTGTTCGACGGAGAAACTAAAAGCGGTACAAAATGGAGTGGACCCATTGGAAGCTTACTTGATGAAATTAACCCTTTTTTTAGTAGAGTGGAAACTGGTGAGCCTCTAGTTAACTTGAGTAATGATGTGGTTAAAGACTTTTCAACAGATCAGTATTATGGCTATCAAATAGTTAAAGCTATACGCAGTGGTCATGTTCCTCAGCAACTAGGACTTCTGGAAATTGGCCCTGTTAACATGGCCAGATGGCTAACAACAGCCAATAGAATATGTAGAATTTGGGTATCTTATCATGGTCTTCAAGGCGATGCAGCCCAAAACCTTCTTAAACTAGTCGAGTTTATTGTAGGAGTGTACTTTCCTGTCTGGTTTAACATCAAAGTTAAATACAGTTGGACAGAAGGACCAAAACATGTTCTTTACCAGCTTAAGTTGCTTCAACACCAGTCACTTGATATTCAAAATATGGTCATTCCAACTATTAGGCGATCTGCTTGGTATGCCTTCTCTGAATCTATTCTTCAAACTATGCTTTGTTCTGAAAATAAAGAGGAGAGAGATTTCAGTGTAAACAAAATTCTTGAAATAAGAGGAGAAGGTGATGAAAATGTAAAACTTGGAGATCTATCTGTTAGACCAAGAAGGACACCAGATAACAATACTAAAGCAATTTGTCTCAAGGACCTTATTGATTGGAATGAAGCTTTTGAACCACCTTTGACTTGTTGTATGACAACTAAAGACATCAAAGAGTATTTTTTTAAACCAATGATTGTACCAAACTGGTGTTGCCACATTCAAGCTGTCGAAAGATGTGTAAAAAAAGTTACTCAGGCTTGCGAAAATGTTTTTACAGAAGATAGAAGAGATGGTTGGATTAAAGGACAAGAGTTGTCACAGAAGTTGATGTCACGAAATCTATCTAAACAAAACCTTATTGGCTTGACAAAGTTTAAGAATTAATCTTTATTGTACTTTATTTTAATGTGCCAGTAGATGTTTTGTGGATCTATATGAATGTTTTATTTTTAATTCCAAAACAACCTAATTTTACAGTTTTAGTGGGAGGTAGTGGGAGGGGGGCAAACCACTCTAGTTGTTTTTATACAAATAATTTTATTATTTTTTAAATAGAGATGACGTTTTTTTGCGTTTTGTAAGTTTTTTTTTTAAAATATTTCAATTTTTTAAGTTTATACCTCCCCCTCCCCCAGGGTTTTTGGTAAAATAGTGTCTCTGGTTCCCTAGTAGCTAAAACTTTTTTTTTTTTTTTTTTGTTGACGGTTCTAAACTTGTAATATTATACCTCACCCTTTTTTAAATTATGCGAGTCAAAATTCAAAAAAAAAAAAAGTATGACACACCCTAATGAGCATGCTCAAATTACCCAGTGCTTTTCATTGAAATTGCTTAGTTTAAAGTCCTAAAATAGCAGTGATTTTTAACTGCTTCTTGAATAAAAACATAACATAGTAAAAAATTTTAATATATTAACAATACTAAATATTTTTCTGTAAGTTAAATCTAAAAAATTTTAATTTTTATTGTTCAAAGGTTTGAGTTAACAAAATTGAAAAAACAATGTATTAATTTTTTTTTTTGGCGGAAAACATAGTAGTATTGTTTCAACAAAATGTAGCTTAAAATTTGATCTTTTAATGATATGTTTTGTTAATCACGAATCCTTATATTCCAACAATTAGTTCTATTAAGCAGGTTGGTCTTTTTTTACTTCATTAATGCTATTTTATTGAGCTAATTTAAAGTGCTCATATTACCAAGGGGTCAGGGTAATACGAGGACTTTTGCTACTTTTTTAAAACCTCTGTGTTTTTTTTTAAAAAAAATGTCAAGTGCCCAAATATCTAAATAGATTATGAATAGGGATCCCTAAAAAATGTTTATTTGCAAAAATTTTGGATCCAGCATATTTATTTTTTAAAATATTCCAATTTTTGCTTAAGGTGCCTATATTACCCCAATCTACCTTATATAAAAAATTTTCTCAAAAAAAAAAAGAAAAAAAACCTTTAGAAAAAAGGGAATTATCTGGTTTTGCAATTCCACCCCTCAATTTATGTCGTATTTGGCAAGTATTTTACATTAAAACCTGTCTTTTTAAATTAAAAATCAAAAAACTAATTGACATTAAAAGTTGTGAATATTGGTCGATTTTGATTTTAAAATTCACTCGATAATGCTACACTTTTTTTGCAACCTTGATCAATAATTGTTCAATTTTAAAATTAAAATAAAATAAGCAATACATGTTTTACAGAATAAATATTATTATATATATTCTCGCATGATTAAATAAGAATTACTTGAGCCCGATGAAAAGTTTAGCAAATTAAAACTTTTATAAGGTTTCATAAACTTTTATCTCCTTCGCTACCAGCCGTTTTAACAAAAATTTTCACAAAGCGACCGCACATTTTTTTGAATAAAATTTGAATGGCCTAACATTGACAACTAATTAAAATTCGAATAGTAAATCTCTTTAAAAGCTTAACAAACTATATATCAATAGAAAGCTAAACAAATAAATTTTTAATTAAATAAGTTTTTGACGCACATCATTAAGCAATTAGAAATGCAAAGTGCTTAAAATCATTGTTATATAAATAGTCCAAAACAAAACTCATTCAAGGTATAAAAAGAATGTTTTTCTTCAAAAGACAAATATAATTACTTTGCTAAACACTTAAGACCTCTGCGAGTTAATTTTAACGTTGTTAACGCTGCTTTATTTTAGAAATTTGAAGAAGTATTTTTTATCTAATTTTTCTTCATTTAAATTACTCTAGATTTTTTAACTTTGTCAAGTGATAACTTTTTATAATAACACAACATGGTTCTTATTTGTTCTTGATTATGTAGAGAATTAAGTAAACCTTAAAAACAAACAAATTATATGTGTCTAGAGTGAAAATTTATGTTCAAAACAAGATAAATTGATACTCAAAAGCAACTACCAGCGGCTTGCGGTCAAAGTTTGAAAAAGTCAAGTTGCTGTCTGCGGCTTGCGACAGATTTAAACTATACAAAATAATTTTTTTAAACAGAAACTTAATAAGGAAAATAATCATTTATTAACAATAAATATAACACAAAAATAATTTATACCAATAGACGAGCTCAAAATATCTGAAATATTTTGTTCAATAATAAAATATTTTCAATGCAAACTTCGCAAAGTTTAGAAAATAAAATGGTTAAAGAAATTCTACAGTGATTTATGATGAAAAAAAAACTTTAATATAATTATAAGTAACTAAATAAATTCTTTAGTAGTCTAAAACAAACTTTAGTAAAACAACAAAGTTTGTTTTTCTTGGTATACCTTTATTATTTTATTTTAATTAAAAAAATTCCGTCGAAACATTTTCTCTTTTAATATGAACACAACGTTTCTCGGCACTTTGGAATTCCTTTAGGCAAGTACTATTATCATCATAATCATCATCATTGTTATCATCATATAACAATGATATGAAGCATAACTATCAATACCAACATGATAAAATGTTAGTCAAAAAGATTTATTTAGCTTAACTAAAATATTTACCTCAGTTAAAATGTATTTAATCTTTTAAATTCACTCTTCGTGATCAGAAGTCAAAATCAATTAAAAAACAAGTTAGCTCTTACTAATAGTTAAAACTAGCGACGTCAGATTGGAGATTAAAATAATAATAAAAAAAATTAAAATTATTAGTTACGATGAATCTATGTTATCAAATAAATCATAATTAAGGTTTTTAAAAAATGGGAGTTTAACGTAATAAAAAGCCAATGAACATAGAGTTTTATAGTCATAAAATAAAAAAAAGGGGAAAAATGACATTAAAACTATTTTAATTAGGTATTATTTAAATGTTGTTATTTTTTGCCTTTTTTTTTTTTTTTTTTTTTTTTTTTTTTTTTTTTTTTTTTGTGAGTATGTTAAATTTGTCTTTCTTGTATTTGTCGCTGAGTTGTAAAGTTTTTTTTATAAAAGATTACCTTTTAAGATCAACCCCTTTGATACTTTTTGAATCAAACCCGTTACTTTAAACGTCAATCCCTTTACTTTTTTTAAGAAACCAAAGGAATAAATAAAAATATTGGGGTCAATGCTTACTTTAAGTATACGACCTAATATTCTGCAATTTTGCCGAATAAATAGAAGGCCATTAAAAAAATAAAACACTCTCCCAATAAGAAAAATGATGTTGGGATAACGTTATCCTAACGTCTTCCGTACCGTTGGGAAGACGTTAGCATGATGTAAAGGCGAGTTTCCACTCGTCCGTTTTTTCACGGGAAAGGGAAAGGAACGGGAAAAATAATCACGTGGGCATGCGTTGTATAAGTTTTCATATGTCTAAAGGAAAACTGCGCATGCTCACGTGATTGTTTTTTAATTAAATAAAATCTCTATTTTTTTGGTCTAAACAGCAATACCAATTAAACTATGATAAGTATATGCGCTCGCGATAGCCCCGTCTCGTGCGCGGCTTTTAATTTTTTTTTTCGGTAGCGTAACTTCGGACCAAATCAGTCAAGAAATCTGGCGACTTATCTGGCCCGTTTATTCGGCTGACGAGATTTCAGAAAATTATTAAAGTCCTTAAAATATTTTTTATTTTTACTGTTCGGTAACGTAACTTAAGGACAAGTTAGTCAAAAAAATCTTGCGACTTATCTGGCCCGTTTATTCGGCTGACGAGATTTCAGAAAATTATTAAAGTCCTTAAAATATTTTTTATTTTTACTGTTCGGTAACGTAACTTAAGGACAAGTTAGTCAAAAAAATCTTGCGACTTATCTGGCACTTTTATTCGGCTGACGAGAATTTAAAAACTTGTTAAAGTACTTTAAATTGTTTTTTTTTTGTCGTTCGGTAGCGTAGCTTCAGGCTAAGTTAGTCGAATTAAATATATGATGATTGCCCCCTGACTAATTAAAAAAAAGCCTTTTCTAACAATAATTCTTTGAATGTTTTAAATAACTTTTAAATGATTTTTGATATGGCATGCATTTAAAATCTGTGAGGTATTTGCTTGAAAATGGATTTATTGAAAATTTACAAACTCTTTATTTAGAATTGTCAGTAAAGATTAATCTCCTACATAAGTCAGATTTTTATTAGTTGTTGACTGTTCATAAGTCAATAAAGAGTAGAGAACGACATTCCTTAGGAGTCAAGAACAACTAGGCGGTGAAGTAAGATATACTTTATTTAACCTAACAAGTAAAATAAAAAATTACATTTAAAATTTGTAAACATATTATCCCTGCGTTTGTTCATTTGGGGATGTAAATTTATATAGTAATAATTTTATGAAATACATTTTTTTCTTTGATCTAATTGGTTCAACTTTTTACCAAACTGATTTATTGTAAATAAATGATTAAATCAAACTTTATTTTCCATTGAGCTTATTGTAGAATTTTTTTTATTTAAAAATTTTTAATTGCTTTTTTTACAGATCTGAATCAACTGAAAATTGCTTATTTAGCTCATTTTGGATATATCTGTGTGGTGATAATAGTCTGGCAATGGATTTAAGAATACTGACAGCAATTGATTTATATTTAAATGCCTCTTTTTACAGTAATCATCCATTGTTTGTAAGCTTGTGCTCAATGTATCCAAATGAGTTTTCATCAATTGATAATTTGATAGCAGTGTCTGTACCCACCTTGAGATTCTACCATGTGTGGTTATTTGAGTTGTAATATGGTTTTAATTTAATAAGCTTTCACTATTTAAAATGCGGTAGTGGTGTAGTGGTAAAACACTCGCTTCATAAGCGAGAGGTTCCGAGTTCGATCCCCACCACGTCCCTGGTAGTACCACGCTCAACTTGTTTCTCCGCGCAGCGGTCTTGTTCGTCAAGGTTCGTGTTTCGGAGTTATAGAGTTGAGAGAGGGTTATAACCACTATTAAGTAGCCTCCTCGTCTGTAGTGGCCTTCTCGGCCTTGAGGAGGTGAATAACAAAAAAAAAAAAAAAAATTTGAAGTTTACTTTATTGATCATTAGTCAACAGTTTAGAGAAAATAAACACATGTAACACACTAACTGTAAGCATAACTTTGTTTACGAACATTAATATTACAATTGTTTAACATTATATAACATCAATAGAATAAAATAACAAAATGGGTTTTTATGATTAGTTATCATATTATTGTTTTTGTGTTATTGCATTTCTCATAGTATGATATTCATACAAATAAATTACATTATAATTTTTTTATAATTATGGTATTAATGTTTTTGCAGTTATTTACTTTTACAAAGTTGTTATTCTATTTGCAATTCACCTAATTATGCAAACCTTGCCTATTTAGTTAATGATTTGTTATACTCCATACAGGTGTATTATTTATGGAACACAATAATGATGCCCACAAAATATTTTAATACCACAGACAATATTTGATTTTTGCAGATTTAATGGATCCTTGCTAGTTTTAATACTGTATTTAATACTATATATATATATATATATATATATATATATATATATATATATATATATATATATATATATATATATATATATATATATATATATATATATATATATATATATATATATATATATATATATATATATATATATATATATATATATATTAATATCGCTATATCTTTAACTATATCTTCGAGTGAAAAGCATTATTTGATCGTATAATAACTTATGAAAAGCAGAGAGCAATTTTCACTTTGTACTTTTTAAATTAAAAAACTACATACCTAGAAAAATTGTTTTAATATTTTATTATAAATTAATCATACTGTGTATTAAACTTGTAGTTTAAAATATTATAGAAGTATATTTTTACTTAGTTTATTGTGTCTATTTTTTTAATATGCAACCCCAATTAAGCCGCTTTTTTGAAGGCTTTGCAAATAACTTATTTATCAAACAAATGGGGTAGGTGCTTTTTTTTGTAATTCATCTTCATCTCCCCCCGTCCTTTCGTGGGAAGGGGCGGTATGTATATATATGTATATACATTTCTTCAAATATTAAGCAAGTATCTTGTACTATTTGGGCAACCTTTGAGTAATAATTTTGCATATTGTATTGCGCCAATATTAACAAAATATACTTTCAATAAAGAAAGCATTAATTAGCAAAATATTTCAAAAGAATTTTTAATGGTGATATATTATGTGCTTTATTTCTTTTCTTTTTTTTAAGTTCTTTAAAAACAAAAATAAACAAACAACAAAGTACGTAAGTAGGAAAGTGTTCGAACATACATATGGTGGGTATTTTATGACTATGAAAAAACACTGTGTAAAGGTAATAGACAAATCATGTAAAATATTTTCATATAAACTCTCAGCAACTTGTATAATAATCTCAATAATTTATGGTATGTAAACAATAACTTGTCGTATTAAATAATTCAATATGTGGTATTAAGTATCTCAATAACTTCTTTTTTTTTTAAAAATTTGCTATTTAAATGCCCCAAGAAGTCCTAACGGTCTTGCCACAGAGCACCGCGGAAGTACATTTAACCAGGAAGTTCACGCCTCCTTCCTTACTGTGAAATATGTCTAAAGCTCGTTTTGAACCTGGATCTCCTGCTTATAAATCAGATTGTGTTAACTGAACTCGAGGAACAAAAACTTTTTTGCCAACTGAAACACCTGTTAGAACTTGCCCATTAATGTAATTATTTTGTAGAGCACGCACCATCAATCGGGTACCATTGCAAAGTCCAGCTTTAAGATCTAAATTTCGAAGTAACAATTATACAGCACTTTTTTAGTTTTTAGGCAATGAACAGACATTCCCGATGGAGTAAGACTTAAAAACTCAACAGGAAAATTGTTGATTTTGTTAAGATCATCTGTTTCAATAGTATTTGTACTTAAATAAATTTTTACATCGCCTGGTAAGCGGTCCAAAACTTCTTCATTTAGTGCTAATGAATCTATGTTAGTGGGTGTCAAAATAGCACGTTTTGCATAATCATCTTCTTCTGCAACTCCAAAAATCTTGTCTACTATAGATTCATTTGCTGCAAGCAAGCACTGGTCAGGAAATTTAATGCACTTGCGAAAGGAACCATCTGCTTTTAGTAATGTCCAAACAGTAATGTCCCACTACCAAGTTTTAAAAGAGAATTTATTGAGAAAATTCCTTTTGTTTGGCCCGAACCCTCACATTTTCTGTTAATAAAAATTGCTGAACATATTTCCAATTTTTAGAAAATGTTATACAGACTTTAGCAATATCTGCTGCTTGTCTCTCTCTTTAGAACCGGAAGTATTTGCAGGCTTCAACATTTATATGCGCTTGATATTTTTTAGAAAACCATGGGTTATAAGGTACAACACTACGGTTATCAACTTGATTGCCTTTTATATTGACAATTTTTCTGTTATTGACACATCTATAGCGTGGATAACCATTACAAATTACAGCAGTGTGTGGATTAAATTCTTTAGGAAATTTTTTGGTGCATTTCCCATCTTTCATAAAGGGAGAATTGGGATTTAAAGTTCCACATGGTCCATGTATCATGCATGATTTTATAATTTCATGAAGTTCAGGATCAACAGCTGGGTCTGGAATTTCTTCTGATATCAAACTGTCAGCAAAATAAAATATGTACATGTGGCAAACCACGCTTTTCAAACTCAATAACCTGCACATGA